TATATACATACACCATCCCAGCAGACAGATGGACGGGAGACATTTGACAAGAACTTCCTCACACGAAATCCAAACTCACGTCTTCAGCGCGCATTGGTGAAGAGCCTATCCAGTAAGCCACAGACTCTGGTATGATAGTAATAATACTCTTTTTTTTTGGGTAAGTGTTTTACGGCGCTCGCAACTGCATAAGGTCGTATGAGCGCGCGGGACACATTAAACTTTTTCAGTTGGTAGGACATTTTGTCCGGGTGGCGGCCGAAGAACTTTTCGCAACTTGCACACGAGCCCTTCGAGATTTTTCGCCCTTGTTCGGAGGCTGGGTGCAGATCTTTCCTACCAGCAGGAAAAGAGGTGAAAGGAGACAATTTTAGAGAAGAAAAGTTTTCCGTCAATACCCGGATTTGATCCCGGGACATTTGAATGAGAGGCTAACACCTGAACCTCTTGGCCACGAGAGCCCCCCATACTCTTTTTTTAGAGGGTTTTTTTTGTTACGTTCGTCCTTTACGCATGTTCTGAGCTGATACAAATTAAACTCTTTTCAATCCGTATTTTTCAAAAGCATCCAGTGCATTTTTTTTCTTTCCTGGAACCAGTGTTCCCATAGTGGCTTTTGTGGTGTAACTGTTATGCTCCTTATTTTCACACGAAGGAGACTCGAGTTCGATTCCCAAGTAGGGAGAATTTTTATTTTTCTTCTGAGGTGTTGTATTTCACTCATCCCTTGGTTGGTCCTGGCAGGCAGGATCAGAAGTCTTCCTCCTTAATGATACAATATGACCAAATCATGTTGTAAATCATAAAAGAGCAAAAATGTTTTTAAAAAAAATATTATTATAGTAGAGGGTTTTACGGCGCTCGCAACTGCATAAGGTCGGTCATATGAGCGCCAAGGGGTGGGTGTCAACAGAGAAGTCTTTACAGGGAATCAGACTTATTCTGCTCACCTCTCTAGCTTCAACAGCACAAGGTCTGCTTCGACTATCAAGGCACCCCAAAAATAGCAGGTCACAAGAGAGTGACAAACATACAAAAGAAGTAGAGGGAAATGACAATAGTAAGGATTAGGAAAGAAAAAGCAGCTGTTCCCTGTTGTAGATCAGGCACAGTTATGAGGGTGACATGATGAATCAGCCCATTTACAATTCTACTGTGCTTGAACGAGAAATGTCCCCCTTTTGGGAATGGCCTAAAGACACTACAGTCAGTGGCACTGTCCCGGGGGAGAAAATGTTTAAAAATAAATAAACATTTTTAAATTCCAGTTTTTCATACGCATGTTGTGCACCCCCCCCCCCCCTTTGGAATCAGTGATCTCGATAATGTTACCTACGACAACCAAAATGTGCAGTAGGTAGTATGTTTTACTAGAAGATACAATAATCATCACAATATATTCACGGGAGCCCTTCAAACACTTGAAAAGCCAACTGGTCCTTTAAACAATTTAATACGAGTTTTACGGCGCTTGCAACACAATAAGGTCACGTAAGTGCCGATGATTAGAGGTGTTACATGACAGTTAAAAAAAAAAAAAAAAGGAGTAGAGATCAGTGAGATACATGTTTGATAGGAAAGAAGGAGCAAAAACCACACCGGAGCACCCGCCACCCACCCGTAATTAATCCTTTTAACAAGCTTGTGGGTGTAAACACTTTCGTTGTTGTCATCACGTTGTACAGGTGTAGCTCCTCTTTCAGCGCTAAGCTTATTCAAGAGGCGGAATCTCCTTAACCTCCATCTCCGAGAGGACCGAACCATACAAAAAAATGACTATAAGGTTATTTATGAGGCGGGACCTCCGAGTTTAAAGTCCCAAGGACACAACGTCAGACCGAGCTGAAGCTCGAACCCCGGAACCCACAATCTCACGATGAGCAAACCAGATAGGTGAAGAGCTTTAGAAACTTCCCAAAACAACTTAAGTTTAGACCGCCCCGTTTGGGATTCGAACCATAGCTATCCCCTCCGTGGTCCAGCAAGACACTGACTGAGTTAATCGATGGCCTTTCATACAAAATATACGCTTTCTTCTTGATCAAGGCGTTTGTTCATTGTTTGTAACGAAAAGCTCAAAGGGGAGGGAAAAGACAGGAGGGGGTTTAGGGGAAGAAGGGGGAGGAGATCTTTTTTAAACAACATGTACTTTTATTGTTGACTTGTTTTGTAAGGGTTGCTTTTGGCCCATTGGAGAGTAGTAATTTAGACCAGGACAAACTGTAGGGAGATGCTGCAACTACTTTTCCTTATCGAATTTTTTGGTACTGTTTCGCTCTGTCTGTCTGTCTGTCTGTCTGTCTGTCTGTCTGTCTGTCTGTCTGTCTGTCTGTCTGTCTGTCTGTTTGTCTGTCCGTCTGTTTGTCTGTCTGTCTGTCTGTCTGTCTGTCTGTCTGTCTGTTTGTCTGGAGTCCAAGACTTTCGTCTTTCCGTTTGTATGCCTGTTTCTCCGTCGTTCTTTCTTTCTTTTTCTTTGTCTACCTGTCTATCTTTGTGAATCTGACTTCATGGGTTAAAAAGAATGTAAAGGCCTATTATTTGTTTCTCTTTTTGTGTTAACTTGCCTTCCTCCAGTTTTCTTTGTATCTCCTTTCCCTATAATTCATTATTTAGTTTTCTCTCTCCCCTGCCTTCAGTATTTTCTTGTGTATTTATCCCCCCCTCCCTTTCACTCCCTATTCTCTGAGTTAGGAACAAAGGTACTCTCAGCAGTAAATGTGAGTTGTGCTTCCCAAAACGATAAGCGTGAAAACTTCGTTTCCACCACCCGCTTGCGCAAACTGCAGGAGACAACGCCGATCTGAGCGTGCGTGCGTGCGTGCGTTTGTGTGCCACCGCCAGCCAGCCATTGCCGTAGCCTGAAGGTCTAGGCAAGATTTATCGAGCTCTGGTGGTGGGTGGGAGTGCGACTCAAGCCCTGGCGAACGGTGAGTCGACCTTGCGTGGAAAAAACAATGAGGTCCCCGTCATCTTAGTCACTCCACGAAGCGTGCGGTGTGAGGCGTGCGAGCTGCGGGGCTGTTTTGTCTCAGTGAGCAGATGAACTCTGGGCGCGCGGGTTTGAACTCGCGTTCACTCAAGCCGGTTGTGGACTGATCGTGAATCATTTAGTTGCTTGTTTTCATTGTGGATTTTAGTGACAACGTGTGTTGTGTATTCAAAGTGTGTACTTTCTAACTTTGGTTTAGTTTTTATTACGTCGTTGTATTATCACCAATACATGTACGATTTTGCAATAGGAGAATCTGCGCCATTTAGTATAAACGAAACCACACAGGGATTTAGACAGAACTGACACTACTGACAGTATTTGCTAACGCTGATAAATTAAAGCAATGAAACGATTTACTCATAATTCTTAGAGTAATATTGTATGGAATGGCTTCTATAGAGTACAATAATGGACAAGAATAGTTATCGTTGCACAGTGATGATGGCTGCATGATAATCACAATAATAATGATAATAATAATAATAATAATAATAATAATAATAATAATAATT